TTCTGTGGAGTTTATAAAAGAACTAGGACATAATTTGTGCTTGAGAAGGGTNTCATTAGGATATATACAACCAGTAGATTTGTTTTTGTACTAATACTAGAACCAGATTCTTATAAGTAAATCTAAACATCAGGCCCTGGTCAGACCTTATGCTGAATTCCCTAAGACATTGAGGTTTCAAAAAACAAAGTATATTTAATAACTACATAAATTTATTTTACTACATTCTATGTTACAGAGAAGGGGGAGGGAGTGGGGAGGGGGTGGTGATCAGAAAGGAAGGGGGAGGGACAAAAAGTGAGGGGGGAGGGACAGAAAGTGAGGGGGGAGGGAATGGTAAGCAGCAAGGGAGGAGGAGAGAGTAAGGGAGGGAGGAGGGACGAGGAGGGAGTAAGGGGGGGGGGGAGGGAGTGGTGAGTAATGGTGAGGGGAGGGAGTGGTGAGTAATGGAGGGGGTAGGGGATGGTGGGCATTGACTGATAGAGGGGGAGGGAATGGTGATGCTGGGCCCTCATCCCCATTCACACATGGTCGTTGGGGCACATCGTTGACGCATCATTGCATTGTGTCGTGTCGCCGTCCTCACATCACGTGTTTTGTCATCATCCTCACGTGTTGTGTCGACGTCCTGTTGTCCCCCTTTGTTGTCATGTTGTTGACATGTCATCGTGTCGTTTGTGTCGTTGTGTCATCTTCATTGTGTCATTGTGTCATTGTGCCATCTGTGTCGCGTGTCGTTGTGGGTTTGTGGGCTGTTGTGGCCGTTAGTGGGTGCTGGTGGGCATGGTGGGCCGTGTCTCATCATCTGTTGTTGGGTCAGATGAGGTAGGTTGGGGTGGGGTTGCTCACCAATGAACAACGATGAATGACGAATCAATCAGATTCATCGTTTGCCGTTTGGTTGCCACGTCGATGTTGGTAATGTGGCACCTGGAACCTGTGTCAGAGGATGAAAAGGGTGGGGATGGGTACTCACTTTGGGTAGACAACATCGCTGTGCGTTGTCACCGTCCGACAACGCTGGATTGTCGTCGTCACTGAGGATGGATGATAGCCAAATCAAGCGTCGGCGTTTGCCAATGACCGTTCTAGGANAGCGGTCAAACAGTACATATGTATAGTACAAAGTACTTACTTTTATCAAAGGTATCTTGGTGCA